GAGAGAGAGAGAGAGAGAGAGAGAGAGAGAGAGAGAACACGACAGCTTTGGATCTGTACATCACGCAAAACGTGTGAAAAAAAAACAAAGATCGTCGTAAAACCGATAAAGTGATTTTTCATCGGGACATATCGTATTTTTCTTCACATATAAATCTTTTCCTCCCGAGAACAAACAACAAATTTGATCTGGGAAATATTGACGCGTTATGGGATATACTATTGAAAGAACTAGAAACTTCTCTAAGCCATCGAGTGGCAGAAAGCCGATCGGAACGATCTTTTTGCTTACACTTTGTGATTTTTTATTGCTATTGGTGAGTCGTAAAGCGGGATGCGTTGTTGAAGTATGTGGAGAAAGGGGAAAGGAGAAGGAGAGAGAGAGAGAGAGAAAGAGAGAGAAGGAGAGTAAGAGTGAAAAAAAGAGCTCTTCTTTCTGCCGATGGCAGTCGTACGCGTTACGAGTGGGATTATTTTTGAGCTTTTATAGATCATGACTACCGAGAGGGAAGAGTGTGAGAAGGAGAGAAAGAGAGGGAGCGTCTGCTTCCGCTCTTTCGAATATAGAGAGCAGATCAGTGTCGGACGAGAACGCTATCCGACCCGATTAACGTATCGGAAAACTCATCCGCACGATCTCACGTACTCGGCGGTAGGGTCTTTAAGCCTTTGCTATGGCGATTCTAAGTGCTATTTGAACTCTCCCCTTCTTCCCAAGTAACATTCATGAATACGTGCCGACTCGCTTCGCGCCTCATACATGTTGAGCTGTCGTTATACTAATTTTCAGCTCCGTTCGTGGCGATTCCATAAAGAGAGAATCGATTGTCGATTGTCGTACGAAACGTCGCTCCAGTTTTATAATCTAACGTAATCTAACCTAATCTGTTCGGGATAAGTTATAATCAATTATCGAGATTTAAATTTGATTTGTTTTAATGGGATAATCCTTAGTAATCAATGATTAATCGTTTTTATGAGACCATTTAATGAATCACTCTTTTTTCATAAGTGAATTTTTGCTTCTTTATTACGCTCTCAATGCAACGAGGATTCGTAGAGTAGTGCGCGCCGTAAGAACGGTGGTCACGTTTGCGAATGGAACACGAATTTCGCGCGTAAAAGAGTTTTACTCCGTAATAAGAATTCTAGTCTGCGCATCGTCGCGTCGTCCTAGCACGTAGGAGATTGTAAACTGCTCTTCTTCCTTTTCCTCCGCCTCTTGCCCTTATCTGCGGTTGAGCAGAGCCGTCAACTCGTGCTCTGATACGCCGCAACGCGGCCGCACACATAAGTGAAAAAACATAACGCAGTATATCTGGGAGAAAAAGCGCTTTCGACTCCGCACTCGCGAAAGGGGATCGGATGCGACGACGGCGGCGGCGGTAGTATAGGTTGGATGCTGAAGAAAGGGTCGTGAAACGCGCCATGGAGTGCCGCTAGTAGTCCGCGCTGATAGACGGGGGTGGAGAATTGTGGAGAGAGAGAGAGAGAGGGAATGAGAGAGGAGCGAGGGAGACAGAGAACCGCTGCCACAAAGTAGGCGCGGCGCTTTATCGTCGACTAAAGGCTAAGAGACGCTCTCTTACACACTCTTTTACACGTACTTCCCGGCCATCCTCCCTGCAGCCACCGTCATCCCTTCGCCGCTTATCGTAACAAGTTCCGACGAGATGCAGCCGATGCGTCGTCGTTACATCGTGTCCTCGTGGTACCGTAGACGCTGCGCTTCTCGATTCCCTGTAAAGCACTCCCAGACTTGCCTGGTCGTCTTTTTTCCGAGGACCTTTTAATTTTATCGACTTTTTCACTTTTCTCTTTTCCTCACGAAAACGTGACCGAAACGATCGAGTGCTCTTTGGAAAACGAGGTTTTTATACGTACAAACGGAAATGGCGATGATGTGTACCTGGTCTAATCGCAAGTGGATTTTGCCATTACTCGGAATTTCGCGATGCAGAGATCAGATATGAGAATATTTAATATGTTGACTGCTATATGCGAATTTCAACTAATTACTTCGAAATTTAAAATTGAAGTTTTAATAGTCCGAAATAAGGTAAATAAATACAATTTATGATATGAGTTGTTTTTATGACGAACAGAAGATGCGTCTTATTCGTTATTGATCATGTATTTAATTTGTCGTAAAATATAATTGAAACGATTATGCAATACTTTCTTTTCAATATTGCTACAATATATGTAAAAGTACATTTCAGTTTTCCAATAACGTAGAATTGAGAAACATTGCCTATAAGATTTAATTGAAGGAAATATAAATAATTTAATTGTAAATTGCATGTTAACAAAAAAGTAAAAAGTAAAAATGTTAAGAGATTGGAAAATGGGATATATATATATATATATATATATATATATATATATATATATATAAAATATCGATGATTAAAAAATTCAAGGAATTTTAGTAAATAATACAATCAAATATAAACATTTTTATTTTTGAAAAAATCTCGTTTATAATTATTGGACAAACTACTTTGTTTAATAAAAAGTTGCAATTATTTATTAAAACACATTAAGCATACTTTGTAAGAAAAATAAATATAATAAACAGGAAAATGGAACTATTCGTTTTAACAATACAAACAAAATATAGACAGAAGAAAAATAATAGATAAACAATAGACCAGAAGAAAATGTGTCCTATTTTTTTACGTCAAATTTTTAGGTTTTTAATTATTTATTTTTCCAATAATTCATATCATCAACATATCTTACATGATAAAACAAAAATTTCCCGTGTTATTAAGAAAGTAGAAATAGCAATTGAACGATGTAAATCGTATTAATGTAACTATATTAAGAGGATATATTGAATATAAAACATTATTGAATATAAACTTACCTTAAGCAAGTTGGACTGCTACGAAGTCAAATTTTCTGGCGAAAGGTAGAAAGTCGTTTATATCTCTATATGAGTTTTTCTTGACTTTCAGCTTTATATGATGAGTTTTATAATAAATGAAACAATTTTGCACCAGTTATAGAGTGCACAGTAGAAATAAGCTTTATAGAAGAAATAAGCTTCTATTCCATATCATCTGTTACTTGATAATCAGTTTCTTCATTCTACATTTAGTTACGTCTTATATTTCAAATTAATGAGACACGACAATATTACTGTGCTGGTCACAGTGGAAGTCAGTGTGTCAATATCGAAAATTCGCGACGATTGCGATTTCTCTTGATGTTTTCGCGAAAGAGAAATCGACTTCGAATTGCTAATTTAGATATCTATGGATGAAACATAGCTCGTCCGGAATATTTTCTACGCACTATCGATCAATGGACGTACGCAAAAGATGCACGGATAATTTATACACAGCGCTTCATTCACGGACGTGAGGAGCATGAGTCACGAGTGTGATCAAGTGGCTCACGAAAAACATGATACACGTCTTCCGCGAATACCTACTGAAAAATCTGTATTCACATCGGAAAATTTACGTGGAGCTACATCGTTATAGAAAAAAAGAAAACTATTTTTACGTGCTCAAATAAATCACTTACATGCTCTGTTTATATCAACGTTTGTTTAACATTGCTTATGTTTGTAGAAAGAGAATACTTTTGAATGAATTTAAATATTACATGAATAAACCAAGTTGATTTTTAACTTTGAATTTTATGAATAATCATTAATGATAGATAGATAGTATGATATTATATCGAATCTTATTAAGTTACATATAAAGTATAATTAATTGCATCTACACATACACACACAAAATCAATTGTACGGCTAACAAAGAATCTGTGAAATGAAATAAAAGATACAAACGTTTTTTGAATTATATTTATTTATCATTTCTTTAGTAATTCATTTATCAGTTAGGCTTTTGCACAATCAGTGGAAATTACGGCAGTAGTCAACGTGTTAATTGGCGCGATTGAAACTATCGTCGGATTACGCTATCGATCGCTTTTTCCGTAATCTATCGATTGTCTTTCTCGTAATCTATGTTACACCTACTATAATTGTACAAATTAAATATTTTTCGCCTCATATCAAAATAACTCAAGGAAATCTCTTTTTTCTGTTGCAGGTGAGGTGATTGGGCAGCGATTTCTTGGCAATGAGAGCCACGTCGAGCACTTCAAGCTCCTGGAGCGCGCGACAACCTCAATCCTCATTGGTGCCAGGTAATTATTATGTGATTTGATTTTTAATCACGTCCCCTCGCGCTACCATGGTGGCTTACATAAATGAGATAGTCATCGGCTAGACACGCCGTTCATCTGTGCCACGAGCCGCGGATACCGACGCCGAGTCATTCATTCGATTACGCATCAGCGTGGGTGACGCAGCATCGCATGTAACGCTAACAAAACGGAGATGCGTCTTAAGCCGGACTATGTGGCAAACGTAGACTAACGTTGGTTCAACATTCGTTATGAATAGGATAAAACCTTCATTATTGTCTATCCTACTTAGTCATTGATACTCTGATTTTTCAGAGAGAATCTGAATTTTCTTGTGCGTCTATTCAGTTTTAGCTATAAAGATTTTTTTCAAATTAAAGAGTGAACAGGTAAATAGCTTAATTGCAATGCTGGTCGCAAGAAAAAACAAATTTTTCTAGAATGTCAATAATTAACGAAGATATCAATAACACTGTCTGACATAATTTTACTCATAACTCAAAATATTACGTGGTTGTTCGCAAAATACTAGAGGAATTTTTTGTTCAGTTTGACCTAATCTATCTGTATACCGCGGCTTCGTCGTGAGTTATCGGACATCTTGTATATGTGCAACCGTGCGTATATAGTGGATTATTTACGCAATATCTACTGTTTCAGCATCTGTTCTTTCTTGCTATAGTAACATAAAGAATCGATTACGGTAACAAATTTCTTTCGTTGTCATAACGAATTTGTATCAATAAGGGTTTGATTTCAATAGTAAATGTATTTGCTTAGAAGGCACTACCGACACAGCACATATGTTTAATAGACATCTTATTTAAAATGTCTTTTAATGACACTACTAAAAAGACATCTTAAAGATGTCATATCAAATGTTTTGAAGATATTACTTAAAAAGCATTTTGAAAATATCTTATTTTAGACGTCTTGATGATGTCTATGATATTTTTAAGACAATGTATAATTATTTATACTACCAATTATGAATATATGATGTGCCGAATATCATCATTATTTGTTAGGTGTCATCAATATCTAATCCTAGCTCTGAGCACGATGGATGAGCAAATCCACAGTCTAATCATAATTCTCAACCGACTGCAGCAAATAAACGATCCTTATAAAACATAAATAAAACATCCTTCTTTCTTTAATATGTGTTCTTTAATTGTGGAAATTTATAACAGCATATGTATATAAAGATCTTAAAGTAGTCTTAAACAAGATGTATTTAAAACGTCTTAAACAAGATGTATTTAAATTGAGATATAACATATTTTAAGAACATAAAAATGTTTCATAAAAATGTTTTTCCAGTAATTTTTAAGACATCTTAGAAATTTTAAGATGTCATAATATTGTATTTTTCTTTAATAGCAAAATGTATTTTTAAGAACTAATCTCCCTATTCTAGCAACAAAATTGTTTTTGTTTTAATTACGCATAGTTCGTCGATTTGGTTATGTCGATTATATTTTATCACTATTGATGAGAATATACGGCAGTAACAATGCTTACTTTAACAGTGATATATATTTTTTCCGCGTACGTACTTTGTTTGATGTTACACAAAATAATCATCCGTGCGCTTTCTTCCTTTGTAAGCGTTTATAACATCAAATGCGCTCGGATGCACTTGTGAAAAAAGTAATGGAAGAAGTGTAACTATTATAGTCGATAACCGAATGTTAATACTAATTTGTTGATTTAATGAACGGAAAATAAGTCAGTTCGCAAGCTAATAAAATTGATAGAATGATATTAGAGAAGCTAGTCAAATTCCGACTTTGCAAAATACAAGGTGGGAGTAAAATATATAGGGGTAAAATATACATATGTACTATGAAATAGGCGCGTAAAGAAAGGAATATTGCGATTATTAGAAAGATGGAACATTTGAACAACAAAAATATTTTAGTATTGTGGGAACACTGATTCACGATTAATTGTACCTAACCTCGCACCGCTGTCATTTCACACATGGCGACGATACACAGCTGAGTTTTTCACTTGTCAAAGAAAACTATGCAGCAATTTAAGAAAACGTCCTGTTAGGTGTTGTTAATACTGCTAAATTCATGTAATAGTACAAATAAATATGTATCTATAAAAAAATAATTATATTAAATAACAGGTAATATTTATTTAATATTGCATCTGTAGAGATTATATTTCTTGTTTCAATGTCATATTTTGGAAAAGCACACAACAAAAATTTATGAAAGGGACGTCGCTTCCAGCAATTGTAAAAATAAATATTGAGATAGTATTGAAGATTTTAGTATTAATGTAAAATTTAGATTAAATCCGATGTAAGTATCAATGACAGAACTAGACATACAAATTATGTAATATAAAAGATGACTTTAATTTTTTTGCTTACTTTGCCATTAAGCAACTGTGATTAACGTACCTACCTAATTAATAAGTTAAATTAAATTTTCTACAATTTTATGTTAATTTTATTATTTTTATGGATTGATCTTGTTTGGTTAATTATTAGAGAATTTTTTTATTTATTTTATGTCCTTAAATAACTGATTATTATAATTAATAAACGAAACTGAATTTAATATTTGTAATATTTTTAAGTTCTCATTGTTGGGAAAAGGAACGTAGCTAGTATGGAAAAGAGTGCGACAGACGACGCTTCCTTTTCTGACGTGTGAGTTCTGCATTCGATGGGTCATGGCCGTTTCTCGTAGCGATACGGCGTCCCTTCACTAGGAATCGTATCCGTGCCTCCGACCAACGTCGCAGGAGTAACAATCACTTTGCGACTCACTGCACGGCGTCTCATGACACAACAAATCTCTCTTTCTCGCCATGAAAATTTAATGCAGCAAAGGATATAAGGAGACTTTCCCGCGATCAGATTCTGCTTCTTCTTAAAAATAACCTTACGATCACAATATTCTAGAACATTGAAAGTGGATCCGGCGTGTTTCTCACTGCGGAAGTTTCTCACTGGAGAAGAGAACGAGGGAGAGCTTCGGCTTCTTCTTCTTCAATCAGAGAGAGGAGTCTATCAGACTTGTCAGAGAATTCCTCTGGACAAAGCCATCACCTTCTCTTGTATGAAGCTCCAGCTTCTTCTCCGAGTCTATCAGACTTATCGGAGAGTTTCTGTAGGTAAAGTTACTGGCTTTTCTCTCTTTCTTTCTCTCTTTCTCTCTCTCTCTCTCTCTCTCTCTCTCTCTCTTGTGTGTGAAACTCTGGTTTCTTCTCCGAGTCTATCAGACTCGCTGGAGAATTACTCCGGGCGAAGCCACCGGTTTCTCTCTCTTTTGGTCTGTTTTTCTCAAGATTAACAGAATTTATTCACCACTAAAGACGCTTAGTATCTAACCAATAATTTAGGGCATATTGAAGACGCAACTTTGTATTCCGAGTCTGCTGTGTATTTCTCCATTGTAATCACATTAAGGACAAATAAATTCGGAACTAAATCAGATCGACTCTTCCACCCGTTTATTGACCACGCCGCCGCGGAAATACCAAAGATACTTTTCTATATATTTTTTTATTCTTCGAGTCGGATCCAACGCCTCGGCTCATTTCAAAATGGCTTCCAAGTAAGGATTGCTCTACATAAGAGGTGATTCAATTTAATCCAGCAGATATCAGTTTTGATGACCATGTAATGCGTCAGTTTTAGAAGTGTGCGAATAGAACTGATCTCGATTTCAAGATAAACATGAAAATTTGTGTCATTTCGCGAATAATGCATTAAGTGAGGATATGTACATAAAAACGCGAGTGTTTGAGCGTTACCAAGAGTTTTACGTGCACGCGCGTGCTCAGTTATTAACGCATTGTGACGAAGTCGAATCACCAAGCTTTCAGACGAGATCTGCGCCTTTCGATCGAGGCGCTTCCGGTTTCATGAGTCATTGTAGTGTCCTGCCACGGATTACCTTGCCACACTTTTCGGGAGACTATTAAATGTGACGATCGTTTCGTGATTTATTTACGTACGTAAGAATGTTGACCTGTCAAATGTTAAAAAGATGCGCTACTTTAAAACATATATGTCCGATGAAGCTGCACGGCTAGTGTTGAATTTATCCATGTTGAAAAAAAACTCCGAGATCGTATAGGACGCGTTACCTTCGCGTTATGAAAACAAAACGGTTTTTTGTTATGACACAGTTGGATAGATTTATGAATCTCAAATCAATCAAAGCTAAGTCGGCTCAAGGTTTCAGTTCATTTCTCGCTACGATTACGGAACCACTCAACGCACTTCGTGCTTTAGGATGCCTGCTGTATTACTGGGATTCTTTCTTACTTCACCAACTCGTGCGATTGCTCGATTCGGATACTCAAGAGGCATGGGAGGTGAAACTCGGGTCATCTTCTGCATTACCCACTTTCTCACACTTCGAGGACTTTTTTATTGGATGGATTAGAGTGATGGAGAATTTGACGCTACATACTTTATCCTCTACTTCTCAAAGGGAGTGTGCTACTTTTTCTTCAGGATTACCTCGTTCTAGAGTGACTTTATAGCGTGAAATGTTACTGCGTCATTGTCTGCCATGGTCTAAATGCCCATTGTGCAAGTCAACACATTATTTGACGCCCTCGTTATCAAACTAAGACAACTCAGCAGTGTCGCAAATTTATCATCGCAGCTCGACAATGTTTTAACTGTCTCGGCGCTTATCTTTTACATCGGTGTCACGATACAAAATATTGTCTAAAGTGTGGGAAAAAAACATCATACGTCGCTTTACATACTATTCTATTGAGGCATCAAAACTTACCTCTATCTGGACAAGCTAAATTCTCGCAGCTTGTTGCTGATACGCAACCTTACATTTTGATAATTGTTAATACATTCTTGCATTGACAATTAATATCACTTGTTCATCAATCTAGACAAATGTTACACTTAATTCTTTGTGTCACGAATTTTTTCTTATACACGATTCATTTGAAACTTGTTACTTGGAGGTTTTTGGAGTCGCTGATTATGAATCTGAACTCAA